GCGAGAAAATTTACGACTCAAAATTTTATAGAGAACACGTCAAAAAATTTATTAATCTTAAAAGTATAATGAATATAAATCTTTGATTTTCATTGTAAATTCATAATTAATTTATCCAACTGTTTATAGAATTCCCTAAACCTTTTATGAGAACCTTTGAAAGTTCCATTGATAAGCTTCTTAAACTTAGTGAAATAAAGTAAAGATTCGAAAGCAACTATACAATTAACAGAAGCAAATTATTGTATGAACTTAAAACTACATTTAAGGTAGAATAACAGATTTTTAAGAGGTTTGTTAAAATTATACCTTTTATTTACTGCAATTCAGAATGTTTATTGATTTATCCTCTTTTATAGGATTTGTACCGGAATTGATAAAGTAGATAATACTACTTTAGAATAGGTAATGTGATTAATTTTAATTAAAATTCTGCTTACTACGTGTATATGAACTAGAATTTTCTTGCTAACAAGATTGGTTATTATAGATAAGGTTGCAATTAAAATCTTAGACACAGACTCCGAGCTTCAGAATCAAAAAATTTAATTGAATATTTTCACGATATTTAATAAAAGTGGCATATCAAGATTGGTGAACTTAAGAGCATAAAGAATTGAAGGTCAATATAAGGTATTGATATAAAGCTTATTTATAGCATTTTAATTTGCATAATCTTGGTTAAATTTTAATATTAAATTCTGCCTAACTATTATCATTAGAAGATTGAATTCTTGCGAAGGAAATTTTTTTGGTGCTGAAGACTTAAGTTCGTGTTATTTCAAAATGCTTTTTCTTCTAATATAGTACTTATGTCTGTGTTATGAAATGAATTAAAGACAGTTGCATGATTGAAAAATATTATAAAATATTAAAAAATTTTAGAGAAAGTATTTCTTAATCAATTTAATAAGGTGTATAGGCAGAAGGATATCAAAACTATGTATATCTGTATTTATTTTGTATCAATATATCAATAGTTCAAATTAAATTTTTTTGATTTTGAAGCTCTGAGTCTGTATCTAAGATTTTAATTGCAACCTTATTATAATAACCAATCTTGTTAGCAAGAAAATTTTAGTTCATATACACGTAGTAAGCAGAATTTTAATTCAAATTAATCACATTACTTATTCTAAAATAGTATTATCTACTTTATTAATTCTGATACAAATTCTATAAAATAGGATAAATCAATAAACATTCTTTTTGCAGTAGTAAGCCATAGTTGTCTTTTGATGTCATTATTAAGTCTATGTATATTATATAAAGCTAAGTTAATAGTGTTTGTTTGTATATAGTTATTTGTATTGTATATGTTGATTGTATGTTTGTTTTTGTTATAGTTTTTTATAAATTCATGATTAGATTTAAGTGAATTATGTAGTTTTGGAATAAAATGGGTCATAAATTTTTCTGTTAAACTAACAATTTTTCTGAAAAGTTTTTTTGAGAACCTGAAAAACAATCATACTAATTGCTAAAGGTTTATTTTTATATAAAATAGTAATAGAGTAAAAAATTCAATTGATCTGCTAAATTTTTTAATGGCACGCAACTGATTTACTCACTGACATTGATTATTAATTAGTCATTAACATTAAATGTATACATGAGTATAAGCTTGTTAAGCGAAGTATATTACTGTAGATAGGTAATAATGATTTAAATGTTATAATGATATTTATATAGGAACAAATAAAAAAAAATAAAAGGAGTTTTTTTCGTTCTTTAGAAGTCCAAAAAATAAAAATACAAATATATAAATATACAAATACACAAATCAGCATATGTTAGAAATTCCTACTGCTTAATCCTCTTAGCCTTATAATTTACTTAATGAGCATACAATACTATGAAAACTAAGGCAACCATGCCAGGCGGCCAGGTTGGTGAACCCTTCTTGCCCCAGGGTTATTCGTCCAGTTCTTCGGTCTCTGGTTTTCGGGCTTCCGGCTTCTGCATTATCGTCAAAGATCTTCACTACTTCCTTGCTCGGGTCTTTCCAAATAGATTTTAATTATTCCAGTTCCTTGGCTTTGTCTGTGTGATGTCACACAACTTCGCCCGAAAGCTCCCATTCAAGATGGTGGTACCAAGGTTACAGGTAGTACACCCAACCGATCGTCAAATAAATGTTACTGAAACAAATCTT